ATTTGACAAAAGAAAGAAAAGGATCCACGAAAGTTTAATATCTAGGTAATAAGTGGTGTATTAAATAGATGAAAACAAATCAACGCACCTCTTCCTTTTATTGTGTCAAACACCTTTAAGATGTGAAAATAGATTCTCGTAATCTCATAGTATCAATATGAAATTGAAATGAAAAAAATGCAAAAAGAAAGAAAGTAAAGGATCCATGAAAAATACCTACAATTTTTTCCTTTTCTTTTTGTAGTAGCACCCATAAATTCGCAACAACTTGTCCCCCAATCGAGCCCTTCATTCACGTATTGCAGCAGTAGGTTACCTTTCTTTGAAAACCAAAGCATAACGATTTAAGATCAAAGGAAAGGAATAACTAAAACGCACCTGAGGTATTTGGTGTTTTAGCATACCAAAGTAGATATGTGCTTAGAAGGGGGATTTATCCCTTTAGTTGAGCTTTTGGAAATGGCCTAAGATAATACTTTTGAAAAAACTATCAAAATTAAAATGCATAATGGTAAAGCCAAAGTAAAAAAATGTAGTTATATCTACAACAGCATTATATGAGTTTAAAGGATTTCCTTTTGGTTTAAAAAAATATGAAAAGTATAAACTGCAACCTGCACAAATCATTTTAACACAAAATAACCATTGTAATATATTCTCCATTGAAAGCTATTGGACCATAGGCATTTTTATTATTGAACTTTGTAAACTGCCTTTTCATCAACACCGGTAAATGCATATAAAGCCAGGTAATTTGCCCCCTTTAAAGCTGCCACAGTTTCTTTAGAAGAATCAATTATTCCTCTCGTAAAGGTGAAATCACAATTAATAAGTAGATGAAGTGTATTCTTTTCTTTTGTTATTTAACTATAATTTAACACAATATGAATCAAGAGTTGAACATGAAAATGTTATTTTAGCACAATTGAAACGAAAAGATAATCACACAACTTAGCTAAAAGAAAGGCACAAAAGGTGATACTATAGCTGCAATAATTTGAAAAAAAATATTATTGAAATTCAACTTTTCACTAATAATAAAAATACACTCAAATTTTAACCATGTTTGTTAAAAAATACGGGAAGGATCTTTTGACTTTAGGATAATTGAAGCGTGCCAATGTCATATTAATGTCAACGGTTCTATTGTCAAAAGAACCATCGTGTAAAAAATACTACAGAGTATGTTTTATCAACAGTTCAACACTACGCATTTTCAACAAATAGTCTAAAACAGAATATACAGAAGATATTAGCCTGTGAGTAAATCTGATATGTGTAACTCGTTCAATATTCACTCATTATGAGCTTCACTTAGTTCTAGTATTTACTTGGCCATTTTAATTGAAGCTGAGTCAAGGCTATTTAATTTTTTTAGAGGTCAATCAGTAGTTAAAACTTCTGTTTTCCTTATTAATTTGCATGCACCTATGGTGTTTAATACGAACCTAACTCATTGACTCCAAACTTAGGCATTCTTGATTTATACTCATGTACGGTTTAGCAAGTAGCTAGGCACATTCAGCTGCACTGTTGATTGATACTAAAAAGAATTTGTCCTTTGTTAATAAAGATATGGTTTTTGAATTAAAATAACCAATCTTACCTCCCCTCATAGCAAAGCTCAACTCAATTAATGAAACAACCTTGATGCGTAAAAAACAACTGGAGATAAAAATAATTGTGAATTTACGAGAGATTGAAGGATAATTCTTGTGTGTGTTTATTCCCAATAAATCTCCTCCCTTTATATAGGGTTGGAGTCAAAACCATACAAGAAAACCATCTTATACTAGGAAACAAACTCTTATACACATAAGGGAACTAAAATCATGATCAAGAAAGGAAAAAGAATCCTTTGGGAAGTCTGCCGCTGCGTGGTGCGTGACTTGCGGCCCAAGGCTGCCAATACCCCCCCTCAAGCTGGTGCATGCGGGTTACGGATGCCCAGCTTGGGCAACAAATGGTCAAATGTGGGAGACGGGAGTGCCTTGGTAAACAAGTCGGCAGGCTGGTCATTAGAGGGAATATGACATGTGTGGAGTACCCCACGCTGAATTTCATCACGAACGAAGTGACAGTCGATCTCAATGTGTTTTGTGCGTTCATGAAAGACGGGGTTTGCAGCAATATGAAGGGCAGCCTGGTTGTCACAATATAGTTGCATCGGTGATGTATGCCGTACGCCGAGAGAGAGGAGAAGAGAATTCAGCCATTTGAGCTCACAAACCGTCGTGGCCATCGCGCGGTATTCCGCCTCAGCAGACGAGCGGGAAACCATGTGTTGTTTCTATGTACGCCAGGAAACCGGGGAGTCACCAAGTTTGATAAAGTAGCCTGTGACAGAGCGTCGTGTGAGGGGACAACTAGCCCAGTCGGAATCACAGAAAGCGGTGAGAGTGAGATTGCAATGTGCCGGAAGAAATAGGCCTTGTCCCGGCCGTTTCTTGAGGTAGCGTGTAGTTTGCATATCAGCATCCCAATGTTCTTGTTTTGGAGAACCCATGAATTGAGAGAGTGTGTGAACGGCGTAGGCGAGGTTGGGACGAGAGATGGTGAGATAAATAAGGCGGCCAACCAACCGGCAAAACTGGCCAGCTTCGGCGTGACCCAGCTCCGCCCCAGAAGCCAGAGCAAGACGGTGGTTGACGGGAAGAGGCGCCACTGCCGGGCGTGAGCCGAGCATCCCTGTTTCTGTCAGAATATCCAATGAGTACTTGCGCTGGCATAGGAAGATTCCATGGGAGCTGCGAGCAACCTCAAGACCCAGAAAATATTTTAAAAGCCCCAAATCCTTCATGTGAAAACAGGTGGACAAGAAATGCTTGAACCGAGCAATAGACTGTTCGTTGTCACCGGCAATGACCAAATCATCAACATAGATGAGGACCCGAAGCTGAACAGCCCCCTTGTCAAAAATAAATAACGAGTAGTCAGCCTTTGATTGAACGAACCCGAACGAATGCAAGGCAGAAGTCAACTTGGCGAACCAACAACGTGGAGCTTGGCGTAAGCCATATAAGGATTTATGGAGGCGACATACCAAGCCCTGTTGCCGAGCGGAGGACCCTGGGGGTAGACACATGTATACTTCATCATCGAGGTCGCCATGGAGAAAGGCATTGTGGACGTCCATTTGGTGCAAACTACAGTTTCGAGCAGCCGCCACCGCGAGAAGCATACGAATAGTGACCAATTTGGTGGTGGGGGCAAAGGTTTCCTTGAAGTCGATGCCCTCCTTCTGTTTATTTCCCAGCACGACTAAACGCACTTTGTAGCGTTCAATGGTCCCATCCGACTTGTGCTTGATCTTGAAAACCCATTTGGAACCAATTGTTTTCTTGCCCGGGGGAAGAGGCATGAGCGTCCATGTTTTATTAGCTTCTAGAGCTTTGATTTCTTCGGCCATGGCTTGTCTCCAGTGTGGATGTTGGACTGCTTCGGCATAATGAGTGGGCTCTACCTCGGCATTGATTGCTGCCAAAAAAGCTCTATGCGACAAAGAAAAATTGTCATAATTAACAAATTTTGTAATACAATGATTCATACCTGAAGACAAAGTCGGAGACGGGGAGGCGCTCGAGGGTCCTTGAAGAGCATGAACAACAAAGTCACGAAGTCGAGTGGAGGGTTGTTTGTCGCGGGTACTTCGGCGCAATGGGACAGGTTCAGGGCTGTTGATGGGTTGAGAAGGGATGGACTCGGGTTCGGTGATGTTTGCGGGGCTGTTTGCGGCTGTGTTTTCAGTCATAGGTGGAGCAGTGGTGCGGGATGACGGCAGGTCCTCGTCGTCGTCGATGAGAGGGGGTTCAGCCGTGTTGTCCAGGGGTATGGGAGGAGAAGGAAAAGTATGGAACGAGAAATGATCCTCAAAAAATTTGACGTCCCGACTTGTAAAAGTTTGGGAGGTTTCCAAGTCAAGCAATCGCCAACCTTTTTGGCCGAAAGGATAACCAAGGAAAATACATTTTCGAGATCGGCTAGCAAATTTGTCACCACGATGGTTTTGATTGTGGGCATAAGCTAGACAACCAAAAGTTCGAATGTGAGTGTATGACGGGGAATGACCAAGGAGAACTTCATAGGGTGTTTTATTGTGGAGGAGCGGAGTAGGTGTGCAGTTGATCAAGTAACCAGCAGTGAGAATGCAGTCCCCCCTATATTTAATGGGTAAATTGGCCTGAAAACGTAAGGCACGCGCCACGTTGAGGATGTGGCGGTGCTTACGTTCTACACGCCCATTCTGCTGCGGGGTTCCTACGCAGGAGGTTTCAAACAAGATGCCATGGGATTGAAAGAAAGGGAGCATACAAGTGAATTCCGTTCCATTATCACTGCGTATGATTTTGACTTGTTTTTCAAACTGCCGTTGGACCATCGTAAAAAAATTCTGAAGAACAGACGGAGTTTCATCTTTATGATTTAACAAATAAACCCATATTTCCCGAGAAAAGTCATCGACGATGGTCAAGAAGTATCTTGCCCCAGTTCTAGACGCAGTTCTATATGCACCCCACAAATCACAATGAATTAAAGCAAAAGGAACAGAAGATTTATTAGAACTGTCTGGAAAAGATTCGCGACATTGTTTGGAACGAAAACACACATCACAAGGAACATTGTCTACGGATTTTTCAAATAAAGACATATGAGGTAAAGAATCAAGAACAGAATAGGAAGGGTGTCCCAAACGCTTGTGCCAAGTACCCACATCGGTCTCCTTCCTCACAGCGCAGCCTTGTCGAGCACGCCATTCTGAAGAAAATATATGCCCCCTTGTCGCCTACCCGCTCCAATCACTGTCTTCGAGGCATAGTCCTGTATAAAACAAATTTTGTCAACGAATTGAACAATTAATCTTTTATCGTATAGAAGTTGAGAGACAGAAATCAAATTGCAGTTGAGTTTGGGCACGAGTAGAACGTCAGCAAGAGTGAGGGCGGCACTCAGTCTGACACTGCCTTTTTTAGTGGCTGCGACACTTTCACCATCGAGAAGTGTAACGAAGCACTGATTTATGTGTTCAATGTTGGTCAGAAATTCCTCGTTTCCCGTCATATGTTGACTTGCGCCACTGTCTATGATCCAAGAGGTAGTAATGGTACCTGAAAACTTGTTCTCCAGAGGAATATCCTTTTCTTTCAAAAGGTTCATCAGGGTGCTCCATTGCTCGGACGTGAACCCTTCGTTGTCGCTGTTTCCCTTCTCTGTACGGGCTGTGTGAGCCGTGGCAGTGACGCCGAAACCAGCTTCTGCTGTCCGGTTGTTCCGTCCTCCAGGCGTGCCAGTTCTGCCCCCTTGTCGTCCTCCTCCGCGACCATTCCGGCCTCCTCCGCGCCTGCCATTTTGTCCCCGGGGCCTATCTCCCCACCATTCCGGGTAGCCAATGAGTTGAAAGCAGCCGCTGATTTCATGTCTGGATATACCGCAGTGTTTGCATCTAACGTCTCTAGTTGTGTCCCGGTTTGCACGATCTCGATCCACACGATCAACCACGGCAAAACTGACCGGGTTTTTCTCCTCTTCTTGTGCGGTTAATTTGAGAACGCCTTTTTGTTGGATAATTGTTGAATACACGCGGTTGAGAGGTGCAATCGGGATGGTGCTTAGAATATTAGAACGTACCCCGCTATAGCCATCGTTGTCGAGTCCCATCAAGAACTGATGCACCTTCTCATCCTCCTTATGAGTCTCGATTGTTTTAATAGTACCGCACTTACACGCACGGCATTTTGTGCATGCAGGGAGTTTCTCAATGCTTCCCAACTCATCCCATATGCTCTTCATCCGGCCAAAATAGGAGGCAATGGGTTGCCCATTCTGTTTACAACCTGCCAGTTCCTTTTTGAGCTGGTTAACCCGCGGTCCGTTTGCCACCGAGAACCGTTCTCGGATGTCGTTCCATAATTGCGCAGCTTCTTCAATTTGTGTGATGGAATTTCGGAGTGAGCCATCAATAGTGTTAAAGATCCAGGATACCAACATGGCGTTGACAATCCACCCTTCCTCAGCCTTTTCTTCGCCGTCTTCGGGCAAGGGAATCGACCCGTCAACGAAACCAAATTTTCTCTTGGCACCGAGTGCGATGCGCACGGCCCGAGCCCATTCTTCATAGTTTTCTCCAGTCAATTTAATCTGTGTAATCACCAATGCGGGGGTATCCGCTGATTTCAATTCGTAAGGACTTACCCTTACAATTTCCTCTTTGCCGGTGCCTTTTGAGAAGGGATTTTCCGATGAAGGTGTCTCGGCCATGTTGCTTCGATCGGACCAGGTCGCCCAGGTCTACCGCTCTGATACCATGTGAATTTACAAGAGATTGAAGGATAATTCTTGTGTGTGTTTATTCCCAATAAATCTCCTCCCTTTATAAAGGGTTGGAGTCAAAACCATACAAGGAAACCATCTTATACTAGGAAACAAACTCTTATACACATAAGGGAACTAAAATCATGATCAAGAAAGGAAAAAGAATCCTTTGGGAAGTCTGCCGCTGCGTGGTGCGTGACTTGCGGCCCAAGGCTGCCAATAATAATTAATATGATGTCGACTCGGAGGAAAAGGAACATAGAGTAATTGAATCTCATAGAAGATGAAAGAAACCGAACGAGTAAATGGTTCTTTGAAACTTCAAAAAAGGAAATGGTCTGCTAGCTAGGTGCTATGCAATTGTTGAAAAGAAGTTTCCAAACAAATGAAACATAATATAGCATCTCGATATATACGATTATCCGAAGCTTCAAATAAAATTTGCAGTGATAACATTATAGCGTAAAAGCAAACACAAATTAAGTGAATTTAGTTTTTATACCTGGCTTAGAGAAGATGGACAAATAGCCTTCAATGGTGAATTTTCTTCTTATTAGTAAAAAAAGAGTATCCAGGTTTTAAATTTCAGTGGATCACTCAATGTTCTCTTTCTTCACGTTAGTCGGAATAGTGATCGGCATATGCTTGCCTCTAGCGCTAGCCTTGTTTCTCTTGCTGTACCGATTTCTCAAGATTTCCCCTATATTTCTTTCTTAAATTCATCATCACCAAATATTATGATTCTTGCAGGCCGATCGTCTTCTTCTGGATCAAAGGAAAATATTATATTTAGTCCTTCACAAATCCTTTAAGCAATTATTTTATTTATTAAGCAACCCCTTCAATTTTTCAATAAAGAGAATGAAAGAACATATTTTTGTCAATCTAACAACTCCATAACATCTGATCTATTAGAACTTCGACAAATGAAAGTTTCTCTCGATGCATCTCAGTACAAAAAGACACTAATGCTATATAAGATTATTGTATAAAGTGGAAATAAATTCAGCCACTTCAACTCATCTTCAAAGAAAGATGTTATGAGGCTAGGAATTCACCCTTTCTCAATCAGGTTATCAATCGATCAATCCCACCATGGCTGCAAATTTTGATCTGCCACGCCCTGACACTGGTTATGATTGAAACTCTTGAATTCTATTAATAATAATCACAGCCTGTAGATTTTATAGTGTCTAGAATAATATAATTAGTCTATGACTACTAATTTAATAAGGACTATTTTAGGAATGGGAGAAAAGTGAACTGTGATATACAATATTTACTACCTATCTAGAAAAAAAGGTGAGTTCCAAGGTATGAAATGCCCCAACCAAAGGAAACCAATACTCCAGCTTACCTTTTTATTCTCATAATATGAGTTCACAACATTGTTTCAAGGTCTTAAAGGAGAGTTACTGGAGGGTTCCAATGACAGTCATACTGCCATTTGAAATATAAAAATGTATGAAAATAAATAAATAATTAAAAAGAAATGAGAAACTCAATTTCAAATATATGACACTTGCACAATTGGATAAGTAACTCATATCATCAAGTCAGATTCAATTAGATAAAATAGGGGCGGCATAAATCATAAATTAGGCAAAAATAAGGTGCAATCTTGATTCTTGCAGTTTGTAATTCAAACAATTAGGAAAAAAAATAGCAAAAGACAGTGATATGTTGGAAGTCTTCAAATAGAAAGATAATACCTAGGGGTTGAGATGGAGTTGTAGAAAGGTAGAGTCTAGGGGACCTGACCGTTGGGTCTTTTCTTCGATCTGGGAGCTGGAGACGGAACCAGACGAAGGCATCTTCAATCGGAGACAGACGATACTACATGCAAAAAACTCTACCTTTATCTTCAATCGGAGATAGACGATATATATATATATATATATATATATATATATATATATATATATATATATATATATATATATATATATATATATATATATATATATATATATATATATATATATATATATATATATATATATATATATATATATATATATTTAAATTTTTTTTATTAATATTATTGAAACGGTCGATTACAAGCAGGGGGCCCGAGGCCTGTTAACCTCGTGACCGCCCCGGGGCCCGTTAAACACCCGAGGCAGATATCCCACTATAAATAGCCCAATCTAAAGCCCAACCCCATAAATCTGCAAACACTTCCCAGGGGGTCACCCATCATTTCTGCTACTCCATGGCCAGCACGCTTAACTCCCTTAAAATTCTCCCAAAGTTGCCCGTTCTGAGGATCGAACCCGGGTGGTGTGGTTCACCAATCAACCCTGTGACCATCTCTACAGGGGGGAACCATATATATATATATATATATATATATATATATATATATATATATATATATATATATATATATAGGTTTTGGTTCAAATAAGAATAAGATCTAATAAAAGAAATGAGAATGAATTTGGATCGTTAGATCTAATAATGCATGTGCTGACTTGCGCTAACTCCTCTAGGGTATTTTGGGTTTTAGACATCTCAATCTTATCTCATTATATTCTCTCCACCATCTATTCCTGTAAGATCTGCTCCTTCTACACGACCATCTTCCTCGTAGTCACGTAAAGATTTCATTCTTCTATAGGGGATTCATTATCCGATCAAAGGCTCTCCATCTTCGGCTAGGGTTTGTTCATGACATTGATAAGGGATTCGGCGCCACTGGATTCGAGTAAGTCTCCTTGTTTGTCAACTTTCATTTTAAAAAACCCTCTTTTAGATTAATCTGCACACAATTTCAAATTTGGTGAGTTGCAAGTATCAATTTCTCAATTAATAATTGCGGTAATTGTGAATTTCTTTTAGTCAAGTGAAAACAAGAGTTCTTTTTCGCGATGGGTGGGGTTGAATAGACAATTTCAATATTTGTTTCGATTCAAGTAGCTATGTCTTGTTTTTCTCTTTTTTTCTGGCATATATATGTCAAATTTCCAATACCATTTTGGGCAGTGGTATCCAATATGAATGAAGATTGGTTTGATCTTATAATGCAGTTATATAGTCAATAAATCTATTAGGATTTCTTATTTGACTACTTCAAGAAGTTAACTTTGTGTGATGCATTTCTCGCTAGAATCAAGTTCTATTTTTCTCTGCTAATTATTTCTGATCTTACTTGCATTAAAGGTATTCATAGTACATTTCAAAACAATTAGGTATGCATTGATAAATGTTATTCTATTTTACAGTAACTTACCAAAGTTAGTTTTTGGATTGCCATTGATAACAAGGTGGTTTGAGATATTAAATTAGCATTAAGGGTGTAGTATTTGGGTTTTTGCTTGTGCACTCTATTCTTCTTGATACACATGTTATTCATTTGATATTTATTTTTGCATGCACTCCTATCCATGAGCTTGATTATGCACTACACAACTTTCACAGTGCACTTTTATACGTCCATCACCTTTCCCACTCCTCTGACTTTTTTTCCTATTTCAAACTTTCTCCACAAATATAAAATTCTTAATGCATTATAAAGAATCTTTAATGCATTATATATAGTTTACAGTACATATTCTGTGGAATTCACTCTGATTTCTAAAGCATAATAAGTATTTTACTGAGTTATAAGAACACTGCAGTGCATATTCTATAAACTGAATTATTTGGCTCTCAAACTGAGTTTGCATTCAAGTATTCTATATCTGTGTTTGTCGTTTTTATGTTGCTCAGTCTTTTTGGTTTTGACTTAGAGTACTGATTTCTACTATAGGTTCACAAGTGCTTATCTAAGGAAAATGAGCTTTGGGAAGCTTTGTTTTAACAAATGTTTGATAGCACCTAGAGTCTATACACTAATTTTAGACTAGTTAAGAAGATTGATTATGAACAACGAACACACCATACACCCAATGAGAAGGAAAAGGAATCAGTCACGCCTATGATTTTATGGTTAGGGTGGGAGTGGAAGATGGATTTGATTTTTTCCTAGATTGTAACACATCTTAATGCTAATATTCAAATAGCCTAAATGTGTCTACTGTTTTGTGATACTGAATGTTTCACAATGCTTTAAATAAAATTTAACTTTGTTGTTTATTCTCCATTTTTTGTTTTCTTGCATCTATGAGATTCATTTTGGAATCCACAGACAAGATGCCTAATATTATTTCATTTTTTATTTCACACAATACTACATTCTAAACTAGATCATAGTGCATCATGTAGCTTTAGATACTACAATCGCATTGGTCTTGTGGGTTGACATATTTTTTGTGTTCATTGGAGGTTAATATACTATATTGCTGTTTTTTTCTTAGTTTTTACTTTTGTCTCTTATGTTGTTAAAAATGTTAGCCTTGATAGTGCTGATAGCCAATTTGGTGTTCATTGGGGGTATATATTGCTACTTTTATTTTTTCTTCTAATTTTACTTTTCGTTTTCTTTCTCCTTTTATTGTGCATTATCTTGATTAAGGTAATGCATTTACATGAGATTGCAATGCATTCTAAGAATTAAGGTAAATGATAACTCATTCTACTACTATGCATTTTAAATATCTTATGATGCATTTGAGGGTGAGTTAGAAAAACGTACATAAAGTAGATGTAAAACTATTAAATTGCATATTTTATAGGTCTAAGTGTAAGATGGAAGTTATTTTTAAATTACAAGAAAAAAATCATTGCCTATTAGCTCAAATGGTAGAGCGGTATATAATACAAATGTGGGTTCGAATCTTACATAAGCAAATTATTTCTCGAATCTATATTATACCTTTTTAAAATACAACGCATTCTCGGAATTTCTTATCACATATAGTCATAAAATGATAGAACAAAATTGGAATAAAATCTAAATAATAAATCACAGTGCATATATCAATTATCATAGTGCATAAATAAAAATGTACATAAATACTCTGTATTAGAAAAATTGTTCTGTTACATTGAAAAATTGTTCTATTACTTAAAAAAATATTGTTTTGTTTCTTTAAAAATAGATCATTCAAGACTAGAGTAAAAAAAAAGATCATTCAAGACTAGAGTAAAAAAAGCTTTCTCCTTTATTGGCGCAATAAATGGACACGTGAACGGAGAATTTTTAGGCCTTAACTTAT